TGTTAGTAATCATGCCTTTCACTATGGACACAATCTCTGTTGTTATCTGAGAAATAATTTCTGATTTTATTTTCTCTAGATCCTCTTTTGTTGCCAGTTCAGGGAGTCCAGGTGGTTGAGTATCAGACTGTTTCATCTGGTTGCCCCTTAGGGTTGCCTTAGGTGATCTGGAAGTCTGGTTTTGAGACTTATTTACCTGTCTTTGCATTTGAACAGATGCAGTGTGCTGCGCCTTTGTTGAGGTGATGCTTTGCTCACCCAAAGGGCTTCAATTCTCAGCAAGGTCAGAGAGGGCTTCTCTCTGCTGCTCACCACTGTGCCAATTCCTGGGTGCAGAATGGTGGCCATCTGGATCCCTGCACTGTGCTATTTTCTGGGTGGGGTTCTGGCTGCACCCTGTGCACTCGTAGGATGGTATCTGTGTGGGTCTCTGGCTGGGGCCTGCCCACCTGTGTAGCTATTGTTTGGGAGGGCCCGTGGCTGGGGGCTGTGCACCTGAGTCGCTGGTGTCTCAGTGGGCTTCTGGCTGAAGTGGCATGCACTTACCAATGGTATCTTGGTGGGCTTCTGGCTGTGGCCTGATCGCCTGTTTTCTGGATGGGCCTTTGGCTGTGGCCTATGCACCCAAGCCACTGGTGTCTGGGTAGAGCCCTGGTTGGGACCTGGGCACCCACACTGCTATTGTTCATGGTGGGTTTCGGGCTGGAGTCTGCACATACCTCCAGTCTCCTCTATTCTTATTTCTTACCTTTCAAGTCTCTTCCATTTTTATACTTTCTGTACATAGTTTCTCCTTTGCTCTAGTCTGATTGTGTGTCCTCAAAATTTATTTATTGAAATCCTAAGCATCAGAGTAATATATTAGGAGGTGGAGACTCTGGAAGGTGATTCAGTCATTAGGTCAGCATTCTCATTGCTGTTTTCTTCATCATTATCTTGGCCTTGGAGTTGCCTCCCTCCACAACTGTGAGTAGTAATTTCTGTTATTTGTAGGCCACCAGTTTGTTTTATATAGCAGCACATACAGACTAAGACATCATCCTTTATTTATTTTTGGAGTTTAGGTAGTGGCAATATTTTTCCTGGTGGCTGAGCTTATAGGAGTCAAGCTTAGGTTATGGAAGAGAGTTGAAAAAGGTAATGGAACAATAAGAAAAAAACTGTGTAGGAACCAGAAATTTTACTTGGTGAAAACCTCAAATTTTTCAAATCATTAGATTCCAATGATGAAATAATTTCATTGGAGATAAGCATACATCTAGGCTGTTAGTGAAAGAAGGCATGCCAGGGAGATTTGTACAATTGCACAGGTCTGATGTCTACATTCTTAAGGTAAGTTCTCACCAGGTCAAAATTTTGAGATGTGTGCTAAACGTCACTGAGGTACTCACTGGCTGTGGCCTCTCTTAGAAGAACAAGTTGGACTGAGGAATACTTTTCAGTGGACTTCAGAGGCCTGTCCTTAATTGTGCTCACATATCTACTTAAAAGGAACCAAAATGAGAGGATGTAGACAGTTATTTGGACTACATAAAGGAATTATGAATTAGGATTCGTATTTAGTAATTATAGTATAGAGGATATTAATTAGAAATTAATGATTCATGTTGATGTAATGATCTTTAAAATAAAAGAAAGCATTGTGGTAAGGTAGAAGGGCCATTAGAGGGACCCACCTTTGATTCCTGACTCTTTTCCTTGCTAGTTATGTAGTCTTGGACAAATTTCTAAACTTTATTTCTAAGATATCTTTTCACAGGTCATTGTGACAAATAAGAGAATGCATAGTAGGTAGAAATGGTGATAATAATGACACCTGGTTCTTATGTAGCACTTTCCATGTGCCAGAAACTCTTATTTAATCCTCAAAACAGAAAAAAAAAGAATGAGGTAAGTATCATTATTATGCCACTTTAAAGAAGCACACTGAGACATAGAGAGGCTAAATATGAGTTACGATTGAAATATAAAGTGAATATTTAAATTTTTTTTTACTGGGGATCAAACTCAGGACCTTGTGCTTATGAGGCAGGCACAGTGCCACTGAGCTAAATTCCTGGCCCTGTGAATATTTAAATTTTAAGAATGTATTAAGAGTATGATACATTACCATTAATGCCCTTTACTTTATACACACTTAATTTCTGGCCACTTATTTATTTATCTATTTATTGATTGATGGCTGTTTTGAAACAGGGTCTTGTTATATACTTCAGGCTGGCCTTGGGCTCACTGTGTAGCTCAGGATGGCCTCAGACTTGGGGCGATCCTTCTGTTTCAGCCTCCCAAGCACTGGGATTACAGGCATGCGCCACCATGCCCGGCTTTCAGGCCACTTTTTAAAGCAGTTCTGGAAGTCCTTTTTTGTGAGTATCTTTATTATATATATTATATATATATATTATATATCTTTTATAAAACCAGTACTCCACTGTCTTAAGTGATGAGTTAGG